TCGCGGACTACTTTCTCCAAAAGGTAAAGCTTTTGTTTTTAAATACGAATAAGCATCTACTACATCATGCTCACTATTTCTCGTTGTAATAAGAATACAAAATGTTTATTATAAATTGCTGCAGAGTAGCAAACTTGGAAGCAATAGACTTAATTTTCCCATACAGGACCTCAAAGCGGTTGTTAGTAGTATTAATGAATGACATTTTCATAAAATTACTAGATAGAGTCCATTCATCTCTTATAGTGTGCCAGTTCTTATCAAAATAATTGATAACTGCTTTTGGTGTTTTAGTTTTTAAACGATTGTAGAGTAAAAAATATTCCTCATCATTATTTAAATATAGCATTTTTTGAATGATGGATTTCGCAGTGTCTCTTTGGCCTTTTGTTATTCTCAATTTCTCTGTTGTAATTTCTCTATTGAAAGTACGCTTTTGTTATGGAAAACACATATAAGTACTTTTTCATTTGGGAAACTTTGTTTGAATTTTTTTCAGTTCTATCTTTATCCGCCATTATAGGTTTGATTTTTCCCAGAATGGATTTTTTTTAAATGTATCCACGAACAACTTAATATTTTCGTGTATTTTATGCATTAAAATGCATCCTGCAGCGATTTAAGTCTGGCCCTCAGAATCTTCAACGACGATGAGATAAAGAGGTGCTCTTAAATCAAGCAACTTATAAGTTGCATCCACACCAATAAATTCGGGATAAGTTACCATGTATTTCTTCATATCATTAGTGATAAACATTATCCCTTGGAAGATATCACGCTCTTTTATTAACAGTTCACAATCCGTACCTGAAATGTGTATGATAAACTGTAGTTACATTATAAAATAATATTTGTTTCTAAATTTTTTTTAAAAACATAGTATAACAAAACCTTAATATAAAACTACATTAAATTAATGTTTACCATAATTACTTTGGTGCATGGAAATTGGTTTCATCAAGTCACTCCCATCCTCCGTTCGTAGTACCAAATTGCATAAATCTTCAGACAGAAAATTCTTGCCTGTTAAAGATTGCAATTGCTGCTTAACTGTTTTCTTAGTGGCGTTTAAATTCAGTTCTTGGATAACCTATTCTTTTTTCTCACTATTTAGCTTTTTATTCTCGGGTAAGCAGTCATATAAAGCCTGTAAGGAATAAATTTTCAATATTTTACAAAAAATGTGAATAATTAAATGTTTCTTAAAAATTGAATTTTTAAACATTTTTTATAAAATGAATTTCTGCGAAAAATTCAATTATGTCTAAAAATTGATATTATTGTAACTTCTCCAAAATTTTATTGAATTTATATACACTACCAGCGGAAGTTGTTTGATTATTGTTAAAAATAGAAGGATTGTAAAATTAAATTTGTTTAATAGTTTTAAAGGCTGCTAAACAATAAAATTCAAGATTTTTTTTATGAATTCCATAAATCGAATATTTTTCCATTACAAACTATTAAATAAAAGTCCCTGATTTCCCTGATTTAAAAAAACCTTGATTAAGCTTTGCATAAGCTCGCAATGCGAATTTTAAAATATTAAAAAATAGAGGTAAGGAAAGTGTGCCGGTTGTGGGCACCCTTTTGTTTTTGCCTCATAACATTTGTCCATGTGCATATTATACAAATATATATGTACGAATTTAAAGCTATAGGTCTAAGATGACTGTCAGTGAAGGAGTTAAATTGATTTTTTTAATAAAAAAGTTTTATTAGAAATTTAGTGAAATGGAAATTTTTTGATTTGAAGCATAATGCTAGCATGTAAAGTAGCTGGCCGGCATATCATAACGCACTTCTAATGCAGTGAACGACTGTATTCATCGCATTTATTGGAGTTTGCGACTGTCAATTTCCTTGGCAGAAAGTTTATATAGATGAGACAGTAGTCCACATGATTGTCAGATGGTAGAGCCACCTTAACATAAATGTGCCCACAACTGGGAATGACAGTTATTTTAAAAAAAGACCTACACATTTTGTGATGCAGGATTTTGGCTAAACACGAAGGTAAATCACAAAATATTATGACAACACTGCAAAAAAAAAATTAAACCCTTTTTTTCTGAACGAATTTACATCCATATGTTGCTCTTTGAAAACAATACAAAATTACTTTTTTATTTATTTAATGCAAATTTTCTTTATTATGCTCACAGCTATTACACAAATGCATATGTTTGTTTTGTTATCAATACGAAAAATCCGAATTGTCAACGAACACGACTTATAATACTTAGATCAGTAAAGTCTGCTTGCCGTCGAAGTTTACGTAGGGGTGCCCACAACCGGAGCGTGCACACAATCGGTGCACTTCCCCTATTGTTATATATTTGTTTTTTCTTGCAAATATTTTTTGCAATATTATGTGATTCCGTGCTGTTTAGGCTGTGTAAATAATTCAGAGCATATCTTCGAAGTACCTTCGATGCATGATTATGAACCAAATTTAACCCTTTAACGCCCAAATGTGCTTAGATGTGCTGGGAGAAGCGGGTCCACTGCCAAACATCATTGATTTCTTTGATGTGATGGGAGAAGTGGTCCCGCTGCCAGACACGACTGACATCATGGATATGTTCGGTAGACCTTGCTGTAATGGCGGGGCTTTTCACTAAAGGGCAACCAAACAGCAAGAAAGAATGGATTCACAAAATTCAAAGAAAGTACCCCATGTGAGCAGGCCGGAAACGGGAAATCTCACCATCGGTCCCAAGACTGATGCTCAAGTGCGCGCAGATTGTGGGGGCGCACAATTTCTTGCAGTGCCACGGGTGATCGTGGAAAGATTAGATCCACAAAACATCGTGGAAGGAGAAAGAATAAGAAAGGGAAGCGCGTCGAGCCTTCTGAGTGTGTCAAGCTGCAGTAGCGGAAAGACCGTACATAGCGCTATCCACTCAGAAGTAGACGACGAGACGATAGAAGAGACTCGCGAGATATGCCCGCGGCTCAGAAAGGAGGAGGCGACTTGCCTCGATAAAATAGAGTTGGAGGTCGCAAAGATAATAAAATCTTGCGACATTCAGAAGAACTTCAACAGGACGGTAAAAGATGGACTCAGAGCCATCGAAGTTCTGTTGAAAGAGGCAAAAGTAAAGCATGTCGCAGCCAATGAGTCGGACTTCGATTTAGCATGCGTTCTCAGCGGTGTGAAGTGTAACCGCAAGGACCGTAAGGAAAAGAGAGAGCGTTCCTATAAGCGTAATCTCAAAAGCGTCCTTAAAGATGCTCAAAAACGGAAGCGAGAGGGTGACAGTCTAGGGGAGACTTGAACCCAAACCGATAAGAGGAAAAAGGAGGAAGCTCCTCCAATGGAAACGGAAGTACCAGATCCAAAGATTCCTCAAATGGAAAGAATGGGGTCAAAAAGATCCGCAGTTCTAATCCGAGTCAGTCAAGGATAAACGTATGCTGACGTTCTAGGTAAACTTCGCAAAGAGGTCAACCCGGACGACTGCCATACGAGAATAGTAGCAGCAAAAGCTACAAAGAAGGGAGACCTTCTGATTAAGATCAGAGGAGGCTCCGACAAGGGCGCTTTCGCCGCTGAGATCACCAAAGCGGTTGGAAGCATGGGTAAGGTGCAGTCGTTGGATCGAAAAGTTACACTCGAGATCCGTGATTTGGATTGCCTTACCCAAGAAGCTGAGGTGCAACAAGTGTTGTCGGAAGCGATAGGAAAGCCAGGATGCAGGACAGTGACGGTCTTAGGACTCAACCGCCGAGGGATGAAGCTCGCGGTTGTAGTCACCAACCCGGAAGAGGCGAACAGGCTGGAGAAATTGGGACACGTAAAAATTGGTTTTATGTGTTGCCCAATTAAAAGAAGAGTAATGGTCGTCCGGTGTCATCGATGCTTTGGATACGGTCATATTGGAGCATAATGCCAGAAGGTGGACAGATCGGCTGCGTGCTTTAAGTGCGGTGAAGCCGGTCACAGGTTCTTCAACTGTAAGAAGAGCCCAAGTTGCTTTTTATGCAAGGAAAAGTTTGGCAATAAGGTGTCAACCACACATATTGCAGGCAGCGGAGGATGCGGAGTCTTCAGGACGACCCTTGAGGAGGCGAAGAAGACTCTCGCAAGAACAAAAAGCAAATAAGAAGTATTAAAAAGAGCAAGTCGAGAATTTCGTAACCTCGGTTATGTCGACGAAGAATCTCGACGGCCGCCAAAAAGCGTGATTTAAACAGCTTTTAATTCGTTTGTTTGTTTTTTATTAATTTATTTTGTGATTTATTTGTCCTTATACATTTTTTAATTTGTTTTGTGTTTTTTATTCGTCTTTATACAGTTTTATCTTTTCAACATTATATACGTGTTTACTTTTTTTGTCTTTTCTTTTTTATATCCGTTTACAATTTTATCTTTGACTTTTTACACTTCTTTAAAAATTTGTTTTTTTATTATTGTTGTGCTGTAAATTCCGCTTAGACTTTGAAATAGTAAAAAAAAAAATTTTAACTATTGACGCAGGAGAACCGCAGACAAAGAACAATGTCGCATCAGCGACAGAGTTGGAGCGCCTCCCTCGAAGGCTAAAGTCTTACGACAGTTCCGAGGGAGGGTAAAGGGCTCCAGAAGAAGGGTTACGGGTTTTAGTGGGTCGGGCTGGCAGTAGGTCGCCAGTTTATTAAATTTACTATTTTATATTGTGACGCGGCATTTTGCCTCGCACAATATTCTCTTTGATTTCTTAAAATTAATAATTAAAGTTTAAAGTTTTGATAGAAATTCCATCAAAACGAGAATCTTCTTACCTAAAACAAATAAAAATTAGCATTAATATTTTGAAATTTACAAATTTAATAAAAGTAAAAAGATTATACCTCGAAAATTCAATTAATTAAATATTTGAAACTTTATTAAACAATTGCCACCTCGTCAGATCAACTGTCAAAAGTAAAACTCGAAATTAGAACAATTTCTGCTGTTAGTATTTTGTTTTTATTTTTCTTATTCCCGAGAATATTTTCAACTGATAATTCGCCGGTCCATCGCGAATTATTAATTATTCGTAATCAACAAGGGAAGTGCTTCCTGGTTTATATATTTGGAAGTGATTCCCGAATATTTAAGAGCACCAGGAAGACGAAGATCAATTGTTTTGGGCCTGTCAAAACACTGACTGCGGCCATCTTGATTTAAAGGCCAACGCGAAGCGAACGACAGCGACCAATAAGTGGGCGCTCTGCAATACCGGCGGCGGATATCTTATCTCGGGCAGATAATAATAGATTGTAAAATAAAATAATAGTACGCCGGGGACTCACCAAAAACTAAAAAGAAGCGTATGTGTAGCGACGCTCTCGTAGTGAGAGAGACGTCCATTTTTATTTATTCTCGTTTTGATAGTAATCAAAGGCGCATCATCGCCAGTGAAAAATTAATTAAATTTTAAAATTATTAAATTTAAAGTACAATGTCTGGACGAGGAGCCATGCGGGGTCGGCGTCGAATTGACGGTGAGTCCCAGTAAAGTCAAATCTTCATTCTCTCGCCAGATTGGCAATATTAAAAATAAAAATTTTCGAAATAGTGAGTGATGCTTGTCACCGCATTGTCATGCGGTAATTCATTAACCAATTTGGCCTTCCGCCGAATATAATAGTTGTCCAACGTAATATATATCACTCTTAAAGTAAAATTTTCTTGAATAAAATTAACTTTAATAAAAATTAAATTCTGTGACAGCGTAATTATTGTGTTGTCTCCTTACTCCCCCCCTCTCCGCGGTTTATTTGGAAATTAATTTATAATCTCCTAATAATTTGTCTGAACTAGTTGGCAAAAATAAAGTAAGTTAATAAATCTTTTGGATATTTTAGTGCAAAATATCCTGGCGCTTAATTAAATCTTTTCTTTCTTAAAATTTATTTAAATCATTAAATTCAAAGTGTAGATAACCTTCTTTCCTGACCCATTGTCAAAGTATTCTTCATTTTGGTTTATTTAAAATAGTAAACCAAATTAAAATGTCAAAAGAAAAAAAAAGGAAAATCGTTAAAAAAATAATAATAAAATAATAATTCAAAATTAATTAAAAGGAAAGGAAAAGGTTATAAATGGCATTCGAACGTTTAGGCCCGAGACAAACACAATAATTAAATAACAAAACAAGCGTCAATTTCGAAAATAAAGTGAATTTTAAATTTGATTAAAGAGTAAAGTGAGAATTCGTGTTCAAACATGCTGAAATTATCTTGAAATAAAAGCAGTAAAAATAAAGTAATTCTTATGCGTCAAGGTCATGGTTGAAAAGAAGCACGACTTCTCACATTATTTTGTGTTCGTTCAATTATCGAGAATCATATTTACGAATATAAATTCGGGTAAGAATAAAATTGATTTTTATTAAATAAAAGTCAGTTTTATGGATAAATAAATAATAAAAAGAAGGATTTGGCTGAGTCATCGCCGCCTTCTATTTGATTGAAATAATTGTGTGAAAATAATTGAATTCTGTAGTCAGTTCTTGATTACAATAGAAAAAAAGTTAATAAAAATTATTTCTAATTTTTTTATTAGAGTAATGATAGAATAAAATAATAATTATTTTGCGTGCTTTAGAATCAGGAGAGGATATTCTCCCTGATCGCGTAGAATTAAAATTGATTGACGACTCTTTAATAAAGTGAAAAATCAAATAATAATAACAAAATTAATTGAAAATAATTTAATTTTTTTTATAATAATTGACCTTAATATTCCTGATTATTCCTCCTTCGGTCAGTGAACCGTGATTAATTCTTTTTGTTAACGATATTTTTAAATTGACGTTAATTGACTATTTTTTTGTGTTGTTGTTATTTTTCAACAATGGAGTTTTTTTGTAGTTGAGGACTGATGGTGCAATCGTTTTGTTTAATTTATTTAAAGTAATCTGACAGCTCGTTTAGTGGGATCTCTTAGAATTTTTATCTCCTTTAATTTAAGACCAAGCCCATGAAAATTCGATAAAATTTGTAGGTTACAGACAATTTTGAAAAAAATGCCAATGCGCGCGGGGCGAGTTTAATGTCATATAAAGCCCTACACGGCTGCAGTTTTTAATTAATAACTTTTTTTCTAATTGAGGCTCATTTTTTTCGAAACGGTTTTACACTCGGAGACATTTAAGGGGTTCGGCCACTGTAAAAGGTTACAAAATTAACGTATATTTGCGATTTTTTTTTGTAGAAAGAAAAGTTGGAGAGTAATTATATTTAAGGATGTTTTTAGGCATCTTTTAAAGTTTCCAAAAAATTTTTTTTCATTAACCCCTTCAGTGTGTAGCTAAAATATAACAAAATGGTCCCAAAATGTGTAAGACCTTCTTGTGAATAAATTTTTATGACACTAGGTACTAAGGGGTTTCTGGGGTCGCTGATTACGATAGCGGTGTTAGTTTTAAAAAATTCAAAATGGCGGATCCAATATGGCGGACACGATTTTGAAAAATTCATTTGATTCGCTTAAAATTCGTAACTCGGGGGTTTTTGGGGTCGCTGATTACGAATATGTTATTAGTTTTTCAAAGTTTTTAAAAGTTTTTCAAAAGTTTAAAAAAGTTTAAAGTTAAAAAAAAAAAAAAAAAAAAGTTTAAAGTTTTTTAAAGTTTTTTAAAGTTTTTTTTTAAGTTTAAAGTTTAAAGTTTAAGTTTTAAGTTTTTAAAAGTTTTTCAAAAGTTTTTCAAAGTTTAAATGGTAAAAATTATAAAAAGAATTTATCCACTTTTAAAATTTTTCAAAATTTTTGGCGGCCATTTTGGATGAAAAATTATTAATTTTGAAAATCTGACTTCAGAATCGTTATCAGCGACCCTAAAAACCTCCGAGTAAGAATTTTTAATAGAATTTATCCACTTTTGAAAATTTTCAAAATTTTTGGCAGCCATTTTAAATAAAAAATTATTTATTTTGAAAATCTGATTATGTATTCTAAAATTATGTATTCTAAAAATATGACTTCAGAATCGTTATCAGCGACCCCAAAAACCCCCGAGTAAGAATTCTCAAAAGAATTTGTCGACTTTTAAAATTTTTCAAAATTTTTGGCGGCCATTTTGGATGAAAAATTATTTATTTTGAAAATCTGACTTTAGAAATGTGATCAGCAATCCCAAAAACCCCCGAGTTAGAATTTTTAAAAGAATTTATCGACTTTTAAAATTTTTGAAAATTTTTGGCGGCCATTTTGGATGAAAAATTATTTATTTTGAAAATCTGACTTCAGAATCGTTATCAGCGACCCTAAAAACCTCCGAGTAAGAATTTTTAATAGAATTTATCCACTTTTGAAAATTTTCAAAATTTTTGGCAGCCATTTTAAATAAAAAATTATTTATTTTGAAAATCTGATTATGTATTCTAAAATTATGTATTCTAAAAATATGACTTCAGAATCGTTATCAGCGACCCCAAAAACCCCCGAGTAAGAATTTTCAAAAGAATTTGTCGACTTTTAAAATTTTTCAAAATTTTTGGCGGCCATTTTGGATGAAAAATTATTTATTTTGAAAATCTGACTTTAGAAATGTGATCAGCAATCCCAAAAACCCCCGAGTTAGAATTTTTAAAAGAATTTATCGACTTTTAAAATTTTTGAAAATTTTTGGCGGCCATTTTGGATGAAAAATTATTTATTTTGAAAATCTGACTTTAGAAATGTGATCAGCGACCCCAAAAACCCCCGAGTAAAAGTTTTTGCGAATATATGTTAAGATGTTTTCTTGTTTGTGCCATGACGTGTATACACGTCATCCACTGTTTGGGCCAGTTTTTTTCATGACGTGTATACACGTCATCCACAGTCAAGGGGTTAAAAAATAATGCAAAATATTGCTCTGAGAGATGTTCGCGTAAAACGCTTTTTCCTTTAGGACCTCCACTGCACGCAGTCTACAGGTTTTTAAAATGAATCTGTAACAAAATAAATTTTTTTTTAAATTTACATTAGAATAGCTAAAGAAATACGTAGGCGATTTTAAAAATATTTATTTTTGTTAAATTGGTGAGCTTTCAAAGTTAAAATTCAAATTTTCGACCAAAAAATGGGTACTTATTTGTATGCCAAAAATAGAAATTTTAACTTATCGAAAATCGGCTACGTATTTCTCTACGGAATCTTATTTTCAAGAAGTGATAAAAATTTGGAGTAAAAAAATGAAAATTGTACGAGTTATGCTGCGTGCAGATTTCAAAAATCGTGTTTTGAGAAATGCGTGTTTAAAGTTTTGAGATATAAACAACATACCTATGAAAAAATTTTTTACCATTAATCTGTAATTAAAGCATAATATAGACATCTTTCTGTATTTGTATCATCATCATTTGAGCAGTTTCTGCCCAACAGGTAGCCATCAGACACAGGTAGTCGTTGCGGAACGGCCCGGCGCGCTTGGTAAAAAAGCTCCAAATTTCAATTAAATCGATTTCAGACACATATAAAACCTTTTGCTCTACATTCTACAAGATTCAAACAATTTTTTCAGTTAATAAAAAAAAATGTATGTTTTGAAAATTCTACAGTGGCCGAATCTCTTAAGGAATAGAATACAATTTTAATTTTTTTGTTAGGACGTGAAGAACATATTTGTTTATTAACATTTTATGAACAAATTATACAAAAAATTATAAAAATTAAAAAATTAAAAAAAAATTTATTTAAATAGTGCAATTCAAGACGAAAAAACCCATATTTTAATTTTAAAATCCGTCAACTGGAACTCGAGAAAAAAATTTGTTAATTTAGCAGTACCAAAAAATTTAATTGTTAATAACTTTTACAAAAAAAATTTTTTTGGCTTAATATTTTCAGGGACTCCTCTTAACCATATTAAGAGTAAAAAAACTATTTTGGTTCAAGAAGAAAATTTGTTAGTTTTAGGTGATCTGTTTGAGAAATTCTGACCCGTATATAAATAAAAATAACTTTTTCCAATTTATGGTATTATATAACCTGTCAATTACTCTTTTAATAATTATAAATGATTTTTAATTGACTTTAAATCGAGCTAGGGACCACTCGACTACTGATAGGAAATAAAGGCGATCTTGGTAATTAAATGTGAGCGCCTGGCTTTAGAAATTAATTATTTGCCATATTTATTATATTTTATTTTACCCGGCCAAGTGGATTAGTAGGATGACTTTTAATAATAAATAAATAAACACAAAGTTAAATTTAATATCACACAATTCGATTTATTCTAATAAAGTAAAACATTAATTCAAATTTATAAAATAGAAAATAACAAAGTTTCAATGGTTAAAGAATACTCAAGCATCCAAGATTTTATATGTAATTTAGCTTTAATAAGATTCTCTATTGACACTTTGACTTACCTCGCAGGCGCGTTGTACAAGTTAATGAAGAACAATTAATCTTGGATATGTGTGCATCTCGGACCAAATAGAGCAGTGAAATTAACAAAATAATAATTATAACAATTATTATTGGTGGTCCCGGTCTGCTTCATCCTCAA